GATTTATCTGACAGGCCTGTGCACTTGTGCCTCTTTCCCAAAACATGAAACAGTGAAAATTTGCATGAATAAAGACAGAAGTAAAGTTAAAAGTGCCTCTACTTTGCTTTCAGAGTCCTCAGAAGTACCCGGTTGGGAATGTGATCTCTGCTGCAAGTGATTAATTGCAGAGGGATTACAGGGAGAGATACGACACGGGTAAATGTCTGAGATTAATTGGAAAGGGCATCTGCACTGACTAGGTTTATTCATGCTTTGTTGTCGGTCCTGCCGCTTCCAAGGGAGCTGTCCTGGCACTGCCAGGGTTACTATTCATTTTTTTTAAAGTTTCAGTGTACATATAAAGACACTGATTTAATGCAGTTGGTGACTAAACTGATTAACAAGTAACACTGTAGAAACATTGACTCTTGTCCTTTCTGTATCTCCACAAGGCTGTCCTCTCCCTCTTACTCCCCATCTCTTTAGCAGCCTAATCCAATCTGGTGCTTTTTATCCCGTTTAAACTTACAAAATGTGGTTTATCTCGCGCAGCCTGTCTGAACGGTTTGATCTGTCAGTCGGGTACTTACTGCAGCTTCACCCTTGCCGCAGGTTAGGACTGCATGCCTGGTACTGGATTTCATGCTGTCAGCACCCGTAAGGCAAGGTTTTTACTCCCTTTTTCAGTTGGGGACTGAAGATACGAGACTTTGAGCGACTCTCTCATGATTGTAAAAGTTAGCCAGTGGCAGAGCAAGGAGTAAACCCTGTTTCACTTCCCTACCCTGTTAGAAATTAAAATAATACTGATGAGCACACACTGTATTCGCTGATCCCTGGATTTCGTTCCGGCATCCTGGCCTTTCCTAATGGCATAAGAAGTGCTGAGTGTGAGGGTACCTGGTGAAGGGTGTAGAGGGTGAGGTGGGTGTAGATCACTGCAGGGGACGTGGGGTCGTCACCTTGCCGTAGGAGGTCTGTGGATGCAGCGGCTCATCCCTGATGGAGAGAAGTGAGCCACAAACACTGCATGCGTGCTCGAGAGCAGTGGGAGAGGGAGGCTGGACCTTGACGCTGTGGCCACTGGAAAGAAGCATCTTGGATGGATTGGCAGGCTCAGGAGCAAAAGCGACAGGCACCTGATGGAGCAGCTTCCCTGTGTTTAGCTGTTGTTGACTATCAGGGATAGCAGAGCAGCTGGGGCTTGTTTGGGCACTGTTTAGCACAGGAGGGCAGGGAAGGGATGC